ATGTGATTGGTTTTCTGTGAACCCATGGGAAGTAGGACCAGGGTGGTGTTAATGAGAGAAGGGCAAAGGAGACTGATTAGGAGGACAGACCCCAATGGGAAGCTTGAGAATGGACAAGTCTGAGCTATTAAGTTCTAATAATCCCGTTAGCTGGTCCTCTGCTGTAATGCATGAAATATGCAGAAACCAGTATGCAGTATATGCTTATACTGGAAATAAAGACCGACAACTGACTATTACTGTAAGTTAAACCAAGTATTGTAATATCACCGAGTCATGCTGAATTTCGGCAAACAATTGTAGGCCACTAAATTCCTTGAGAGCTCAATATCCTGGTGTTGTCTATTTGTCCTGTGTTGTGTTATGTAGCTTTAGAGAAAGGGTGAATTGGGTAAGTGCTCTGTTTTCTATCTCTAGTGCATGCTGGATTCATTCCAGAGGTTCTGCTAACTCGCGTATCGGCTTTCTTCTCCCACTCAGCCCTCTAGAGTGCTGTGATGGTACAAGATGTAATCAAAGGAGGCCTGAGAGTATATGCATAGGGCATACAGAAACCCAAACATATCAATGCAAGCTGCTTCACTGTAGTGGTCAGCCAATTGTTGAGTGTACCTCGGGCTCCAAAAACCTGGGCAACGGTTGAGTGGACAAAGTTGAGTTGTCATGACAGTTTCAGAACTGAGAGTTACGTAACCAGTTCTGGGATAAACATGATTGTCAAGCGCAAGTCTACACTTCATTTAGATCTTGAACCCCCATCAACAGTTGAATAATACAAATTAAAGCCTAAGAGGGTCCTTCTTCAGCCGAGGCAACGGGTTTTTTTTTTTTGGCAAGAAGCAGAATGCTGAATGCGGAAATAGAATGTAGAAAGTAGAATGAGGAACCTCTCCGTAGGAGAGTGACATGATGTCAGGTGAAGCGTTTGAACCAGGAAGTCAAAGAAAAGGGCTGATGGGGTTGCTCTCAGGCTATTGTGATTTTGCAGTGCCATGCTCATAACAAACATATCACGGCACATGGTAATCGTGTTTACAAAGTACTAAGCTGATATATCAAAGGTTTGCCAGTGTTTGAATGGTTCATAATGTTTGTGAGGTTCAATATTCAGATGGCGGTTTGGTTATTTTATCTATAGATCAGACATCTCTTCCCTTAAAATGGGTGCTTCTTAGCCAGAATAAGAATAAGCATATCAGACTTCATGCAGATTGTCAAAAGATTATCTATCACCTTCTCCTGAGAAATAAACATGCCAGGTGGTCCACTAGAAACTTACAAGAGTCAGGTGACCTCTTTAAGAGGGCCTATCACTTGTAGCTCTCCGACAGTACAATTTCATTGATCCTACTATAAGAAATTATGAAATTGTTGCAGAATATGAAGATATCCGATTTATATCCTTATCTCTAACATGATCAAGCTACACCAACAATACATAACATTTTCAGTGTTTCAGTATTTATTCTGTGGCTCAGTTAGAAGGCATTTACTATATTGTTGTCCTTTGGCTGACCCAAACTGTATGACAATGAGCTGAGGTCGATGTAAATTTGACCACACTATTCCCCAATGAAGCCATATTTGTTCTTTGCCTCTGATGACCCCCAGGCTGACCCTTCCTTAAAGAGTTTCAACACAATAAGTAGAACCACACCAATGAGATCTTTATCTTCTATGGACAATAATTTGTGTGAGTGGAGTGTTTGAACAGCTGAGTTTATTTTGGCACATACACCATGTTAAATATACCATCCATTCCTCGTATGACAGACCAACTCCTAAAAAATGCAAATCTTTCATTCAGAAAACACTCAATAACATGTACTTCAATCAATTTAGAAGAACAATGGATTTAATAAAGTTTGCTTCACCGTGTGGATGTCTCAAATGACCCATTTAACTGTGTGGTTTTGGGGCCAGAAACCAGAACCACACACTGCGGGTCAGGAAAACCACACGTCATCTGCACTACGCCGATGCTGTGGGTGGCACACTAGTGCTGTGGAAACTAAACAGTCACTGGTCTCTGTGTGTGGATATTCTTGTAAAGACACAAAGGGACTGCTTCTCTAATCACCACAAAGGCAATGAGGTGCACAGTCTGGAAAGCACTGAATCATGGTGAATATGATGGTTTTATACCTTCCATGACTCACCATACTATTCTATTGCGTAATCGAATACAGCACACAGTGATGGTGACTTTGCCAATTAGGATGTGTCCCTGGATCAACATCTGTTATTGATCCTGGAACAATATTCTTGTCAAACAAACACAGCCACAAGCCTAACAATTAACTACCCCAGCCTTAAACCCAATTCTATACCTAACAATGCTTCCTGAGTAGGATCAATGCCACAAGTTCATCTGTCTAGAATAAATGTGAAACGAGTGTACCATGATACACAACCAATCAGAAAATATTTCATGTTTATTCAGGGCGTTCTCACTCCCAACTTGTCACATATTGACATTTGGCATCACTTTTTAACCCTCAGGCTACCCCTTTAGTGACGCATGTAATTATTGCATATGTAAAAGTGTAAATTTTATTAAAAAACAAGTTTAAAAAATTGAAAGTGTATAAATATTCATATTTTCATAGATATTGGAGCATCTAACCCTACTCCTACACTAAACCTATCCACTTCTTAACAACATAAACACTTAACAGGCAAAATCACAGGTATGTATTGTATAAATATTTATTTACAGGTACTTATTAATACTCCAATATGTAATTTCATCATAGTCATATTGCCATGCCCATCACGTCTGTGAATGACTGGAGGCCTGTTGTATACACCTGAACAAGCTAATCAATGCCTTCGACAAAAGACAATAGAACCCATTTTAATTATGGCCCTATGATTTCTGCAATGCGGAAAACGCGGACGGAATTGCGGAATCCAGTCATAAAAACAGAATTTACTGTATAACGCGGAATGTCACGGAATTTGTCAAAGTTTGGGTGAATAAATCAAAAGTAGGTCATTACACTTAAATCAAATCGCAATATTGACTGGTATCTGTAAATTTTAAGCTGCAAAAATAACATTTAAATATGAATCCTGCATGTCTCTTTATGAATGAATGGCACAGACGCGTGGTTTCATTTACTACACACATACTGAAGTGTGCAGTGTTTTCAGCGTCTGCTGTCTCGCTAAATGAGAACATAAATACATGAACAACAGTCAGTGTCTGCTCTATTACAAATAATTTATATTTTAAAAATACCCAAAACAGCGGAATTACAAGATGGAAATATAGACTAGAAAGATATTTAAACTTGCTCTGCCCTTACGTCCATGACATTGACTCACTGCGGAGTTGTTTTGGCAATCTTTCCAGCTCTTAACGCCGAATGTGCTCTTATGGTTTGATACATGATGGGCTAATGTAGAAGCAAATAACTTTAATAAAAAATAACTTTTAAAAATAAACCCCTTTGTATTGCATTGCATATTGTATGTTCAGGGATGACAGATTGAGAAGCAGACATGCTATTTATGACTGGATGTAACTTTTCATACTTTGCAGTACAAGTGGCTCTCCTATTAACTTTGTCCTATAAGTGCGGCTCTCGTGAAAAAAATAGTGAAGATCACTGCTTTAAGCAATCGTCAAATGTTCCTTTCTCTTGTCACAGTCGTGGCTGGTTAGGAAAATACCTCAGATTTGAATTGAAGATAAAGATTAAAGTAAGAAGATAAAGACCTTTCATCACTTGTCACTTTAATACTCCGTGTCTGGTAAGGACACAATGTGACTGGTACATCCCTGTGTTGATCCAGGATCATGTGGCACTTGGTGAAATCACAGGACACTGCCATCCACAATAAGTAGGTGAGGATTTTGTGTGCTTCTATTGCATGGCTGGGTGACTTCGGTCCTGGAGGGCCACTGTACTGCAGAGTTTAGCTCCAACCCTAATCAAACACACCTGAACATAGCTTTCTAGTGATCTTGAAGGCAATGATTAGCTTGTTCAGATGGATATCAAAAGAAATGGAAAGTTGTTTTATCATGAAGAATTAAGTTTTACACTACTACATAGCAATTATTAAATTTGATACATGTGGCCAAAATAAAATAATTTGGTTTATATTTCAATCTTCTTCAAAAATATTCATAAATCTAGTTACTGTACACAATATGAGCATGATTTTCAATTCTTCTTCAGCAAATGAAAAGATTTTCCTTTACTATAAAAAGAATGGTCATTTACATTCTTGCCTAAAGGGAAAAGGTCCTTGAATATCAGAACTAAAACTTTAAAAGGCATGACGTAGAGCAAACAACTTCCAAAGAACCCAAGCTAATTATATAACACCCACTTGAATATGTGACTGCTGCTCAGATCAAAGAGCCCTTCCACAAATAGTTCTGAAGAACTCAGGCATAAGACTGTTCAAGCTGCAGTTCTCTAATGAATACTGATCTTTACCACTACCCAGAATGCTTCACTCTAGCTCAGCCTCTCTCTAAGCCCTGCTCTAAGATTCATGTTTGGCTTATTATATAAGTGAATGTGTGTGTGTGTGTGTGTGAGAGAGAGAAATACAAAGAGAGAGAGAGAGAGAGAGAGAGAGAGAGGGAGGAGTGAAGCACATGGAAGGATGTGATAAAGGCACTGGAGGGAGAGTGAAGCAAATATCCAAAGAAGCAGGAGAAACTGTGTCAAGCCTGTGAAAAATCTTTTTAAAACAGAAATAATTCAAAAGAGATTATGGCTAATTGCTGTTGTCAGGCGTGTCAGTTCCATTTTGAGACATGCCACTCGACTCCCTGAGACTGAGCGTAACTATTGCTTCAGAATTGACAAATATGGACCCTTTTCACAATTCTGGGGTTCTCAGAAGCAGAAGTCATCATAATTGTAGTCTCAGCCTCAGAAGTCAGAACGACTGATGCATAAGACACACAAAATTAGACAAATTTTTGAAGTCATCATCTGATGGGTTGATTTTTACAGAATGTCCAGGAGACGTGCTTGTCCCATTCTGAAAAAAATGTTATTGTTTCTGTCATTGCAGAGACATAGACTTTACATTTTTACACCCCTAAACATGACGCTGAACAAAACAAACCGTGACTGGTTGCTTTACATGTCTTTCAGACGGCCTCTTGGGTGGATCTTGGCCAATGAAAGTTGAGATGGAGTCCAGACCTTCTGCCATCAGTCTGAAGGTCTGGGTATTCGAGAGTATCATAAGTGGGTAAATATTTAAAGCAGTGAACGGGAGACAACAGCAAATATGATTTTTGCATTTTCAATTGCTCCAATAGCAAAAGAAGAAAAAGTTGGGTTTTGCTACGGCTATCCAAGAGATCGATTATGCCAGTCAGAAGAGAGAAAGATGACAAATGTACTCGTTCTAACTAGTTCTTTGCCATTTAAGACAAATTATAGTGTACAATTGTACATACATACATATACATATACAGTATATATATATAAACAACATAAAAAAAATATACATTTTATATTTAAAATGTTAACAATTGTGAAAATTTCAAGAAGGAAAAAACTAAATTTGATCTATGTATGTCAATGGTTCGGATTTCAAAACAGCAAACCAATCATATTAGATTTTTTCTCATACTGTGTACCACTCAACTCAGTAATTTTAACTCTGATGTGCAGTATGATGGAACAAAATTTTGAACTTGAAACTCTGGAAATCCAAAACTCTGGTGGCATCCAAGGAGAGATAGACACTTCATTTTTACACAAATAAAATGCACCAGTGAGTCGAAGTGTATGCATTATATGATAATAAGGCTGTGTAGTAAAGTACAGGTGTGTAAATTAGAAAATAAACCTCCTTTTCAGTAATTTGTTAGCAAATCCATTGACATCACACATTTTTCTTTTTATGTTTATGTTTGGGCTGCGTGGACACTTTTTGGACCAGCTGTACCCTGACTATTAACGTGAGGAATCTGCTGTTATGTATATAAATGTAGGGAAATCATTTAGGGTCATTTGTGTGCTTTGGCCCTTAAGTGTTGCTCCTACCTGCAAGATGCAGCTGGTGATGTCGGAGGCGATCTTGGCATGGGGTGTGTCTTCGTCTTTGCCCTGCGGCTGGAGGTTATGCTCGAGACAAGACTCCCATAGTGACACCAGAGCTGCTCCGTGCCTCTCAATCGAACCTGTTTCCCTAATAGCTGTAGTGATGCGTGTGATGCAGATCTCCACCACCGCTTGGTCATTGTCATTGGTCAAGTAGTCCTGCAACCAATCACAAATCACATAACTGAAGGAAAGAGATGTGCATTTAAGACTCTGTTACATGTTGCAAATTTTCAGGTGCAGATGAAATCTGTGCCATATATTGTGTGACAGCAGAAATTCTGCAATGCTATTTATATTGAGGTATATATCCATGTTTTGATTTTATAAAATCTGACACCTAAACGAAAAATATAGTCAACTCTTGCAAACTGCTTTGATTATAATGGGAGCAATTTAGTTTGACCACACCATGTGTAACTGTAGGCCGTTTCCAGTTACCAAGCTGATGTGCGGTCACACCTTCACAGATTTGCATATATTTATTATTTTGCAATACTCTGAATGTGGCTCATTCAAACAGATTTAAAATGTATTACTGTTTTTACCTCTTTATTATACAACATGAAGTTGTTTTGCACTGATGCAAGATTTATCATTCATTTACTATAAATCTTATGTTTTGGTTTGCATCCATAATGTTTAAATCAAAAAAATAAAATAAGATCAAGTTTCTTTATTTCAAAATCCAGTGAATAGGTCTTCTTACATGGTTATGTAATATATAAAACATTTATGGACTGACATCCATCCACTGACTGTTTGTTAAGCTACAGAGTATTTACATGCAAACAGCTTTATTTAGAGTTCTGAAAGCATGAGGTATCTTTAAACTAGAAAGTTATGTAGCAAATATTTTCATCTTTGTGGTGTGGCATGTTCGGAATGATAATGTTATGCCAGTGACTGTGGAAAGGAGGACACTGTAGGCCCTGGAGAGAGAAATACAAGAGAAGAGAGAATGAGAGAAAGCTACCCCTGAGATGCTGGATGAGCCCAAATCTGTTTACAAAAGCCAGCCAGAACAAAGAAGCCCAATGAGGCAAGAGGAACTGGCTTTATCACGCTCAGTGACACCAACATTCCTTCAGAAGTTCTCTCATTTAAATTTAAAATATACTAAGTGTGGAAATAAGGGGTCACCTTATTCAAATTATTCAGATATGCAGTGCTGACAGCGTCAGTGATCAGCCAGAACATGCCATATGCTCTCTAACTTCACTTTAACAGCATAACATCAACAAGGCATGTGATCAGCTAAGGACAAACAGGAAGTAAAGCTTGTTACTTTCCACTGAATATGTCTATTTTTGTTAGGGATTTGGACTTTTTGGCCAGTAGTGTTTTTCCTTTTTTGTGTGTCTGTGAGTGTGTGTATCCTGGGCATGGCTATGCACTCCTCTCTGTGGCTGATTGCTGAATGTGAATCACCTGCTGCCAATCAACTCATCTGCCTCCAGTATTTAAACCCTGGGTCTTCAGTCATTCTCTGCCAGATCATTCACCCCTGATTTACACTGCACACGTCTGCGGCGCATCACGGCTCCGAAGAGGTTTTGTTACGTCCTCCAAGCGGTGCCAACTCACACCAGAAGCGCAGCGGTAGGATTCGCGAGACCACGTGATTTGCCTGTCAGATGTTGTTTGGTTGCTCATTGTCCTTGTAAGAAGGATTTGTGATGTCATATAACACCATGTGTTTTTGTATTTCGAGGATGAACCGCTCGTCGTCCATTTCTGACCTCCTGCCAAAGATATGTGACCGTGAAATACGATCGGGAGTCTGCACAGGGTGTTTATTTTGAAATTGACATGATTTTTTAACTTCTATTTTGTATTTGCTGTGTGGTTTGGATGTGGCGTCCGTCAAAAATAGACTAGGCGCCTAATCTAAATTACACTGCACACGTCTGTGGCGCGTTACGGATCCGACGTGTCTACCGGAACTGATCGCGGTCATTCTAGTCAATGCTTGTGTTTACACCAGACGCGCCGCGGCACGTTTCAAAACCGTCCCAGAAGCGGCTCTCCGCGCCGCTTCGCTAAAGATAGGCACCTAGTCTATTTTTGACGGACGCCGTCAAATCATGGTCATTTAGGAATAAGATTGTGTGGGCATTTGAATCAAGATTGCAATCTTTTAATGATTAAACGTGCAACTCTACCATATCACCAAAAATGGTTTCCTGTAAAAATTATATCTGGACCATAAAACCCAGAGGAGTCATGTGATGAAACAGACAGAGGGTCTGATCTACTCCTTTTGCTTTGGGTCTTCTGTTTTCTTATTCCTCTGAATCTTGACACACCCTGTCCGCTCTGGCCAGCAGGTGCACTGGATGCTCTAGCTCTGGCCTCTCTGTTGTCTTGATGAGAAGGTCCAGGCTGGTCATCATGTCTGGATATCTCTCTAAGGGATTGTGGAGGTGACCGAAAGGTGAGGCAATCATGTGAAGAATCAAACTGGTGGTCTGATCTTCTCCTTTTGCTTTGGGTGTCTGGGCAGTCAGAAACCTTCCTTTTTCTTTTCCCTCCCTGCCTCGACTCATTCTTGCTAAAATTGTCAGCAGGTGCTTTGGCCTCTCTGTTGTTAAAGTGAGAAGGTCCAACCTGGTCATCATGACTTGATGTCTCTCCAAGTAATGCCGGAGGATAAAACTCAGTGAAAGAGTGACTTGAAGAATCTGAATCAGACTGGTGGTCGGATCTGCTCTTTTTCCCTTCTCTGCTTTCTGACCTGCCAGAAGACTTCCTTTTCCATTTACCACCTTGACTCCTGTTGTCTCGGTGAGAAAGTCCAGGCTGGTCATCATCAGTGGATGTCTCTCCAAGTGATTCCCCGGAGATGAGGGAATCGCATGAAGAGTCAGACTGATGGTCTGATCTGCTCCTTTGCCATTCTCTGCTTTCTGACCTTCCAGAAGTCTTCCTTTTTCGTTTACCACCCTGCCTCAACTCATCCTGGCTGCTCTGGTCAGTAAGTTCTCTTGATCCTCCAGCTTTGGCCTCTCTGTTGTCTCGGTGAGAAAGTGCAAGCTGGTCATCATCAGTGGATGTCCCTCCAAGTGATTCCCCAGAGATGAGGGAATCATGAGAAGAATCAGTCTGGTGGTCTGATGTCCTCCTTTGCCATTCTCTGCTGTCTGACCTGCCAGAAGTCTTCCTTTTTCTTTTACCACCCTGTCTAATCTCAACCTGACTGCCTGAGCTTTGGTCTGCAGGTGCCCTGGATCCTCCAGGACTGGCCTCATGGTTGACCTGGTGAGAAGGTCCAGGCTGTTCGTCATCCATAGGTATCTCCCCATGTGCTGCTGGTAGGTTATTAGTATACAAAGGATAAAACCCAAGGGTCGAGGATTCACCCGCAGCATGCACAGTGACGGCCCAGACATCTGTTTGCCAGGTCAGCATGGAGACCAAAGGATTGTATTCAGTGTCAGGTATCCATAGATACAGTAAGAGTTCCCTGAGAGCTCTTCGGGTACGCAGCAAACCAAGACCTGGGTTAGATGCGGTCATGTAACGTGGTAAACGTACTTCTAGATGCATCAACAGGCCATGCTCGTCTTCAAACTCTACTATAAACACAATTCCTGGAAAATCATCCCTATTAATATCATTCTCCTCATCGTGACCGACAGGGGGTCCAAACAGTAGAATGTGTAGCTGATGGAAGATATTATGAATGTCACCTTGATCCATGTGAACTACACACTAAACAGTTACTGTGAAATGTGAACTAGCATTTTAACTGCAGGTGTCTGAATACTATATCCAATCTTATTCATGCTGTTATGAGCCTATTGAGGTCCATCTGCTCAATTTATCGCTTGTACTTGGAATTCTTGTTATTGTGATGACATAGATTGTTGAAATTCTGAGAATTCTATAATCTCTGTTTAAAAAACAACAGCATCTGTACAGCTATATTCTTCCACAATTCTGAATAGACATGCCAAATAACATGAAATTTACTAAAGAGATTTACTAGAGGTTCTATCTTCTAAAAGAATGGCTTTTTTTATCCTTGGTCCAGTTTGGTTTGTTTCGTTTTTTTGTCTATACATAATGTATCCTACAGTCTAAGGTGAAAACAATGAGTATATTAACAATGATTCAGTACAAATATGATGTAATTGGCATGACAGGAACCTGTAACGGAGTAATGCAAACTTTGGCAAAAAATAAAATGATCACATGAATTATGATTAAAATACTAAATAGACAAAAATAAACATTTGGTATGAAAAAAACAACAACATTGTAGTACATTTCTTGGTGGACTTTGGGGAAAAATTATAAAAAAAAAAAAATGGACCCCTTTAAAATCATTTAAGAATGTTGTGCTATGAATTTACTATTTTGGGAGCGGAGTACTCACTGGTGAACAGGATATGACTTTGATTTCCTCCAGGGCTTGGGACAGACAGTCTTCAATCTCGCTGTCATCCAGAGAGAAGAGGTCTCCTGCACGGGACAGGTCTCTCTGTCCCAGCACTAGACGGAACAGTTGGTGCATTCTGGGACAGGCTCAAACTTGAGCAGGCTGCCCCTGCCCTGTGTTACCACGATGACTTGACATGCTCCTGAAATGCACCCAGTACACATGCATCAGACTAACACCTACAAACTGGAACGAAGTAGAAAAGAAGACAACTATGAGGAAGATTAATTAAGGGAAAAAAGGAGACAAGAAGGAAAAGAGGGAGTGAGAGACAACACAAGAAGAAAAAGACATCATTGCATTTAAAGTTCATTGATCTTTGTACATTTTTTATTAAGGACAGTAGGGTTATACTTAGACTTACGAAATTAAAATTATATTCTTTAAAGTGCCTCTTATGCCATTGTTAAGGTTTCTTATATTGTTTTGGGAGTCTCCTACAATAGGTTTACATGCATGCAATGTCAAAAAACGCTTTTCGCTTTCGTTTGAAGAAGTTCTAAGATTCAGTCTCTCTAAGGCCCCGTCCACACGGAGACGCGTTTAGCTGTATACGCATAAAATTTGTATCGTATAGGCATTTCGTCTAGACAGATCCGGCGTTTTGGGAGAGTGAAACCGATATTTTTTTAAACCGGGTCCCAGAGTGGATAAATCTGAAAACGCCGCCCTTGCGTTTTCGTGTGGACAGCGAATCCGTATATTTTCTGAAACGATGACGTCATCAGCCCACGTCTCGCCCCTAATCAGACACCGCTACGTCACGTAACAGCAGCAAAAACATGAACAAATGCTGAACGATTGTCTTATTAACTAACATTAACACAGCTTAATAAATGTATTTTTGCATGTTCGTTTGTATACCACGCTCAAGGTTTATGCGCATAGTCCAAGTCTTCTTCTCCGTTTTTAGTGTATCTCTGTGGCAGAATTACAGCGCCACATACTGGTCTGGCATGTATACTATATCGTTTTGTGTCGGTTTCGTGGTTTCGTGTGGACACAGATATTTCTTGAGACGAGGGGAAAAAAAAGATTGGATAGGGAAAGCTCTGGCTTTGTGTAGACGTAGCCTAAAACCCTCCTTTCACTGAGCCAACTCTGCTCTGATTGGTCAGATGGCCCAGTCTGTTGTGATTGGTCTACCGTGTACAGAGCGTGTCGGAAACGATACGCCCATTGTCATAGTTCTGTATTTTGAACATTAGATAGAAAATATAAACATCTATTATTTATCATACTTACAGGTTGTGATTAAGTGGAGCCAGCTGATCCAAATAAACTGGGTATTGAGCCATCTTTCAAGAGCAAGCGCTTTGTGAGTCCTGCACTGAACTCCCCGAGATTAGAGAAGCAGTTGTCAGTAAAATGATGGGAACACACACAAAAAAGATTGGTGTTGTACTGCTGTGGTACAGTGGAAAAAATTTATATGAATTATGACCACTGATTCTTTGCAGCCTCATCTTTTGGAAGTGAAAATAAAATGAGTGTCTTCTCAACATGATGTTAACCACAAAAACAAGCTACAGTGTTTGAGGTCGAGTCAAGTTGTTTGCAACACGTGGCCAACGTAGAACATAGGTGGGCTTTATGCAAATGTGTTACCCTGTGATGTGTAGCCATCACGGAAGTGGGATTCATATTACTGATGACTTGTTCAGGCTGTTCAGAGTCGATTCTTTCTTTTGGGAGACAATGACTTTATTTATAGCACTTAAGCACTTTTGGCTTTACAACTTTGCAAATCATTTACATTCACATACAGCTACATTACACATTGCATGAAAGGCAATATTCGAAATGGCATAATAGGGGCACTTTAAAACTATAACATTTAAATAAATAAATAAATAATTGTTCACCAAAAAAATTACAATTCTAAATTATTAATATCATTTTTTTTGTCTGCAAATATTTGATTATATGATATTTTTATCAAGATATTTTATCAAATATTTTTAAAAAAATACAAATTAAAAACACTTTTGTTACTTGAAATAAAATAAAATTTAACTGAAATAAAATAAAATATCATTTTAAAAAATACTAAAACTTTACTCCATTAAAACGGAATCCAGAAAAATTGTATCATTTTTTTTGTCTGCAAATATTTGATTATATGATATTTTTATCAAGATATTTTATCAAATATTTAAAAAAAAATACAAATTAAAAACACTTTTGTTACTTGAAATAAAATAAAATTTAACTGAAATAAAATAAAATATCATTTTAAAAAATACTAAAACTTTACTCCATTAAAACGGAATCCAGAAAAATTAAAACGGGGAAATAAAGGGAATAAAAAAAAATGTAAACAGAAAAAATTAATGAATTTTGGGAAAAAATTATAATATTAATACAGATTTCATAGGGCCCTGGATTGGACAATTGCCATTCCAAGAATACTAATATTTAGTCCAACAACGCTAGCACTTTTCACTGTTTGCATTACTCCGCTTGTTTGCCATCTTCTTTAGTTTGGCAATTATATACAAAACTAAGTTTTCTGTCTGAAAAGCAAAATATTTTCAATATCAACCTCCTTTTTTTGTTCCTTGAACTTCAGTGCAAAACAAACATCACACAAGCATGAGTGCTGCTACTATATAACAGCACACCTGTGATTCAGCCACAGGCATAAGGCTGCAGGTAACTACAGCTGTCCTGATATTCAGAACAACATCACGACTGTGAGTGATATGATGCTTGAGTGTGTCTACTCCCTGCCAGAGGCAACAAATGAACACTTCTCTCTTTTGAATATTTATCTCTTTTTAAAGGCTACCTTAAATTTTCTCCTTTTGTTTTCACTTTGAAACGAGGTAAATAAGTAAATAAGGTGAATAACATTTTCACTATTCCTTTAAAATATTCTGTATGCATAAAAAAATTTATTTATGACTCTAAAGAGAGCCTGGATGGAATTTCGGGCTGTCAAGCTTCCTGTTAGAAAAATGTTCTCAGAAAACAATTCTGCCAGTGTTTTCCTAGGAGTGAAGCTAAACCTCTGTTAATCTGTAATGTGCTAAACCCGTACCTGCTGGACTCCATCACTCATTAAAGAGTGTAAAATGTCACACGTTCAGTCCCAAACTCTTGAACATGCAAACATGGATGTGTTCAGTCATGTCTCAGGAAGGGCTATTGTATCTATTTTACTCAGCTTGTATCATGCAGATTGATCGTTCATTAGTTTATCTTGGTTATATTGCAAGGTTATAAAAACCATGCAGCTTTCCTTAACGGTTTCATCTTTTTTTTTCTGGTTTGCTTATGTACAGAACTGAAGAGGAAGTGTAATGGACGTTCGTCATTGGAGACAGGGTGGGATATGAGCACGTAATATGATTGACATATGAGCAGCGAATGAGCTTCCTCTGAGTCAGAACAGCGATCACGGAAGAGAAAACACAGGCAGACAGCGCTGGACACAGCTAACGCTCATCAATAAATCAGTGGGAAATTAATAGAAATGATGATTTTGTCGGAGCTATGCGTTTTAAAACGAAAATGCAGTAGTGTAAACACACCCTAAAAGATGTGGAAACTGAAAACTATTTGAACTTTGTTAAACCATTTTGCACTTTATTGTGCTGATTGCATTTTGTTCCTTTGTGCAGTCACTCAGGAGATGAGTTTTTGAATCTGAGAAACGTCAACAAGCTGAAAAAATAAACGGTTTTTTTTTTTTGAGGTAACGTGTAATGTAATCTTGTTAAAACAAATTTAATAAAAATTGGTATAGAAAAAAGTAGCGTTCAGGAACCGGTATTGAAGACAAGGTATTGGTATCGGTATCGGTATCGATATTGAAAATTTTTGAATGACACTCAGCCCAAGGCAAGACTCAGCAATGAACAACAATCTGGCAATAAAAAAAATACAACTTTAGAAAGAAAGATTGCCTGTCTTGGGCCTCTTGTTTGTTCTTTCATCAGTTAGTGATCCAAACGGATCATAGGTTCTGCCCATCAGAAGGCATTATGAGGAAGGCACCCAATGGTAAGTCAGAGTCGCTGAGGAGGTGACAACACAGATGCACTTCACACCTGTCCTCGCATTCCAGAGCTGAGCATCGCTAGGATACCACAGCAAGAACGCTCAGGGACCCTGCGGAGGTCTGACCAAACCACTAATACTCAAATATAATCCCAATGACTTTATCACAACAGGCTCCTAGTCTGTCAGCTTCTATTTAAAACTGAGAAAATACATTGTCCAACTGCTTATGCAGCAATTACACTTGTCTCGCTCCACAAAAATGCTTTTAACCCACTTGTTCATGTTTCATTTTTAAGCTGAGCTTTATGATTGGTATAAATGTGACAGTAAAAATGTGACAACTGACAGATATTTAGTGCCCTATGAAATTTGTATTATTTTTTGAATTTTCTGAATTCTGTTTCGATGGGTATATTTTGGTAATCAAAAAGCATCTCTAATTAACTGAAATAATTAATCTTTCACAATTTAACAACTATTAATTAAAAGTCTAACAAAAATTACATTTTAGGGCCCTATGAAATGTTTTATTTTTTCCCAAATTCAGGTTTTCTGTTTTAATTTTTCTGGATTCTGTTTTAATGGTTGCAACCCTCTACATTGCGAGTAAATCACTCGCATATGCGACTAAATCTTACTCTGGGCGACTAAATAATGTCTAACATTAGCCATTGGCTAATACATTCTTAGATTTTACACGCCAGTATGTGTGTGAGAGGCGTTCAACGTTTAGGTTAAAACGTGTATAACTATCTGTATATAAAAACAATCAAAGTCTAAGTAATGTCCCCATTTAGATAGCTAAGTAAACGTGTGTGTGTGTGTGTGTGTGTAAAATAGTATATCAGTCTGGCGAGTAAACAAAAAAATTTACTAGCCAATGGCGATTATATTGTCAAGGTGTGCGTAGAGGGTTGGGTTGAATAAAATTTTAATTAGCAAAAAAAGCATGCCTAATCAATTGAATTCCTAAAATGTATTTTACAATAATAGGGGCCTTTTTTTCTCAGAAAATCTGTGTTTTATTTTTTCTGGATTAAAGCAGGTCACTGGGTCTGGTCTCTTAAACAATCATCAAGTCACAACCCAGTTACAATTAATCTCCAGGTTACGGCTCAGCAATCTCTGGAATGCAGTCTTTAAAAACATGCTGGCATACACATGCTTCAATGCACACATGCATGCACTATGATACAATGCCAACAACATGCAAATTGCTAGAAGGAAAAGCAAAGCACTTCTACACATGGCTGTTCAGACTG